AGGTATAAAGTCCATTCACTTTGAGAAAAGCTAGTCGGCAAACCAGGTTGACAGCAGCGATTCCTTGGACCCATTAAGTAATAAATTCATTAGGAGATTTCTGACAATTTTTCTTTTCACACCTGAAAGGGGATCATAAACCACTTGTTGAGGACTCATGTCAGACCTGTGTGAAAAATCAGAGTTGCCAGAAATGAAGAGAATGTTTCAAGCAGAAAAATTCGATTTTATTGGTGCATGTTGTGCCGATGTACCTGACAAGGTAACTTGAGAAATATTAAGTAGGAGAAGTCCACTGCCCCTACATTTCACTTCCTCTCTCTTCCGTAGCACAGGTCATTGTAAAGACGAGAGAATATCCCTATTTGGCATCTCTGAACTGTCACCCAACAGGGCAGGTTGAGAAGGTGTTAATTGCACACCCTCTTTGCCCTCAGTCACTCATTAATCACGACAACAATCAGTCTTTGTGAGATAAGAAACTTGCTCTTCTCAAAGTGAATGGACTTTATATGCCCTATCCATGGTCTGGAACATCAGTTCAGAGCATGATGGCTGCACAACAGAAGCTTGTGCACATGTGAGCTGCATCCTCCTATTACAGATGTTAACCTCACTACTATGTTGAACAGGGGTCTCTCAGTCAGGTCAAAACTGTAGCTTTTAAATTCTGATATCTTCAGACTTGATGAGCATGGGGCCTTTTACATAACTAAATATGGAATACAGGGTGGAGGAGGTTATCAAAGCTGTATTTCACAGGGCATTATGCAGTGCTTCTGACAGTACAGACCCCCTTTTTTTTCTATTGCAGTCTATGCCAATGATTCAGATAATAAATAACTGATAATATCTCACAAAAATACTCACCATAAGCAATATGGATTGAAACATGTCTGACAAACTGATGAAAGGTATCATCCTGAGGGCTCTGAAGTGGACACATACTGCTCCCTTCACTGAGCTTCTTCAGAGAAGGAGAATTTTCCAGTAATGGTATTGTCTCTGAATCC